GTGGGATCTTCCCGGACCGGGGCACGAACCCGTGTCCCCTGCATCGGCAGGCGGACTCTCAACCACTGCGTCACCAGGGGAGCTCCATAGATAAAATTTTAATGTAAGAATGGAGGTAAGATGAACCCAAATACTACTGCATGTGGGAAAATATGGGTTTTGCCGTGATTCTGATGGTTTAGCATCTCAGAGTACCAAACAGTAGAGACAAAATAAGATATCAGCTCAAGTCAAGCAGATCCCCTCATTTATTGTGTCTGGCATTTACTTACATTAGCCTATGAGGTAAACAGCAATACACATCCAACTTGAGGTCTAAGAACATAATGACTAAAACTCAGTGTTTCACTGTCTGTGACTTACTTAAAAATACCCCGTCAGAGATAACTGTTTTATGTATGTGCGAGTGTAAGCTTCAGCTCCCTGGCCAGTCCATTGTTATACTTAAAAGTTCATGTGCTGGGTGTTCAACTCACTTACTATCGAGAATGAAAGGCCTGAGAGTGGTCAATGCAAGTTCTAATCAGGAAGCTGTTACTCTTTGCTAATTAGAATACTGGATTTCAGAATTTTTTTTTATGTTTTAATTTAGCCAAGGGTTTTTTTTTTAATTGAAGTATAGTTGATTTACAAGGTTGTGTTTGTTTCAAGTGTACAGCAAAATGATTCAGAGATATATATTTATATTCTTTTTTTAAGGTTTTATTTTCTTTTGAATTTTTTTTATACAGCAGGTTCTTATTAGTTATCTATTTTACACATATTAGTGTATATATGTCAATCCCAATCTCCCAATTCATCCCACCACCACCACCACCCCGCTTTCCCCCGTTGGTGTCCATACGTTTGTTCTCTACATCTGTGTCTCTATTCCTGCCTTGCAAACTGATGCATCTGTACTATTTTTCTAGATTCCACATATATGCATTAATATACGATATTTTTCTCTTTCTGACTTACTTCACTCCGTACGATTGTCTCTAGGTCCATCTATGTCTCTACAAATGACCCAATTTCATTCCTTTTTATGGCTGAGTAATATTCCACTGTATATGTGTACCACATCTTCTTTATCCATTCATATGTTGATGGGCATTTAGGTTGCTTCCATGACCTGGCTATTGTAAATAGTGCTGCAATGAACATTGGGGTGCATGTGTCTTTTTGAATTATGGTTTTCTCTCAGTATATGGCCAGTAGTGGGATATATATATTCTTTTCTTCAGATTCTTTTCCATTATAGATTATTACAAGATATTGAATATAGTTCTCCATGCTATACAGTAGGTTCTTGTTGTTTATCTATTACATATATATAATAGTACTGTGTTATCTGTTAATCCCAAACTCCCAATTTATCCCCCTCTCTCCCCTTTCCCCTTTGGTAACCATAAGTTTGTTTTCTGTCTGTGAGTCTATTTCTATTTTGTAAATAAGTTCATTTGTATCATATTTTAGGTTCCACATATAAGTGACAATATATGATATTTGTCTTTCTCTAAATGACTTATTTCACTTAGTATGATAATCTCTAGGTCCACCCATGTTGCTGCAAATGGCATTATTTCATTCATTTTTATGGCTGAGTAATATTCCATTGTATATATGTACCACATCTTCTTTATCCATTCATCTGTCAAGGGACATTAAGGTTGCTTCCATGTCTTGGCTATTGTAAATAGTGCTGCAGTGAACACTGGGGTGCATGTATCTTTTCAAATTAGAGTTTCATCATTTCTAGATATATGCTTAGGAGTGGGATTGCAGGATCATACGGTAACTCTGTTTTTGGTTTTCTAAGGACCCTCCATACTGTTCTCCATAGTGACTGGACCAATTTACATTCCCACCAACAGGGTAGAAGGGTTGCCTTTTCTCCACACTCTCTTCAACACAGAAATGCATTTTTATTGGTGAAAATAATAGTCTGTGGACTAGCATGATGAATGTTGGAAATGGACTCTCAAAGGAGAAATTAAAGATATGCAAAGTATGTAGATTAGCTAAAATGGCATGGATAGATAGATGGATAGATAGACAGATATATAGACGATAGATGGATAGGCAGACATAGAAATATGTGCATGTATTTTTTTTTAAGAGACACTCACTCCTCCTATCATACATAAGCAAGGTAGAAGAGCCAGGAGGCCAGCAGCCTCACCTCTAAGGATGATATCTTAGACAATCCTCACCCTTTCTGCCTCTGAAGGTGAACTCCTGAGGGTTTTGAGCAGTGCCCCGTGAAGGCATATTGAAGCCTGAGTTCAGCAAAGAAACAACGTGTGCCCTTACATACTCTTACTAAAATATCCTCCCACATTTTGAACCAAATGTAAAAGTTAATAAAATCTCTACAATCAAAACCATGACCATAAAGCTCCATGTTGCCCAATGGGGTCAGATGCCACGGTAAACCTTCACGACCTGTTCTGGCAGTTCGGTAACCACTGGTTACTTGGAAATGACTTCTTGTTGCACAGCAATGCAGGAACATAAAACAATGACTGTCTCATTTAAAATTTTAACATTTTGTTCATGACAAATTATTTTGCATTCATTTTGAGTTTTTAAAATATTATTTCTCTTGATTACTAAGTGTTTCGGCACCTCTTTAAATTTTGCACCAGAGGCTAACGCCTCAACTGCCCTGATTTTGAGCATCTGAGGAGGCTACAAGACTGAAATATTGTATCTCTAGAATTTTAGTGTTTGACTCTAGCAAACCTCTAATCCGAGGTAGTGTTCAAAGAACCCCAATGGATGGAGAATGGGATCTTCTAGAGACTATAAAATGAGCATTGTAAATAAAATGTCTGTTGTTTGATTTTATATGTTATTTTACTATTAAATATTTAGTTAATATCTATATATGTGGTATAATCTGGATGAAACTTGTTTTCATTATTATCTGACAGGCCAGAATTTGGGAATGGCTACCATTATCTGCCAAAAAAGAAGCTGAGAATAAGTTAATTCACAACACTCAAGGAGACAATGAATGGGATCAAGCGTAATGTATATTTTATCTCATTTAACTACATTTTTGTCGCACTAATTATGTGTCAAAGGTTGTTTTATATGCTTTACAAAATTTGATTCATAACAATCGTCTTTGTGAAATACTATTATTATCTCTATTTTACAAATGAGAAAACTCTCTTCATTCTCTTGGGAAAATCCAGAACTAGGTGCACCTCGTTTGAAACTGCATGACAGAAAAAGTCCACCATAGATATTATACAAAACTAATGTATCAAAAGGAAAGAAAACATTGAGCCTTTAGACCCAGAGAGGGACTGTATTTTTTTTTTTTTTTTTTTTTTTGCGATACACAGGCCTCTCAGTGTTGTGGCCTCTCCCGTTGCGGAGCACAGGCTCCAGACACGCAGGCTCAGTGGCCATGGCTCACGGGCCTAGCCGCTCCGCGGCATGTGGGATCTTCCCGGACCGGGGCACGAACCCGTGTCCCCTGCATCGGCAGGCGGACTCTCAATCACTGCACCACCAGGGAAGCCCAGAACTGTATCTTTAAAATAAGTCATCTCAAGAACCAAAATACGTTTAGAAAATTTGTTAAAATCCTCGATCAAATGCAAAAACCCAAGAACTCATAACTATAAAGGTTCAGGCAAAATAAGAGAGCAAATCAGTAAGATTTAATCTACTACAGTAATTTTTTTGGAGGGGGAGGAAGTTTTATTATCAAGTTAATGTAAATCCTCTTAAAAACTTTGTTAGAATGCTTCTGTCCCACTCTTGGCTCAAATCTACTTAAACATTGCAGCACTGATTGGCACAAAATTATCTGTGGTTCAGAGAAATGTCTCTAAAGACTAACGTTTAATTATGTCCATTCTAAGAGTTTGTGGTATGAATTTGAAGGGTGGATATAATTTCTTGACTTAGATCCTCGTATCCTGATAGCGCTTTTTCCCCCCAACTTTACTGAGATATAATTGACATATAACACTGTGTAAGTTTGTGTACAACACATTGATTTCATATACTTATATACTGCAATAGAGTTAATGCCTTAGCATTAGTTAACGCCTCCATCATGTCACATAATTACAATTTCTTTCTGTGGTGAGTATAATAATTTTTAATTGTCCACTTATGTATATGTCTTCTTTTTTGTTTCAGGTTTCAATTACAGGCCCTGCACGTAACAGGCATTAAGAAAATGTTTGATGAATAAATGTATGAATCTACTCCTCCCTTTTCCATAAAAATAATTACTGAACATATGAGTAACTTAAATAAACCCAGTATGGCTTCTAAACAAGGGAGGCCCCAATTTGATATTCTGTGGTCTGTCATGCTCAAATGTAGAAGATAAATAACATCTTAAATGTACTCTTATTGAAAAGATCTTGTTTTGCGTCTAAAGCATAAAGATTCCAAATGAAAGATTTTGGTTCTTTCTTCTGTAGCAAACATATCCATTAAAATATAATGATGAGTAGACGGTATTTAAAATTTTTAAGTGACTTCTTTTATTTTCAAAGGATTTTAATATCTTTATATATCTAAAATCAATGCTACCAACTCTTGGCAAAAAAATGAAGGGTTAAAAGAAACTACGGATATTTCAGCTAAAGATTCCAGCTAGATTTTAAGGGGACTGGTGGTTAATGAATTTTCAGGTGAATAAAAACTGCCTCAGGCTGTTGCTATGGTGCTTTGATATCACTTGGCAGTCATTTGCAGGCTTAACAGGAAAGAAGACTAGTGAAGACTATATCACAACATTCCCTGTAACTCCAGTCCTTGTTCCAAGCACAATCCCATTGCTGTCTGGGTGATCTGAGAATAAATGCTTTCAAGACACACACATAAAAAGGGATTTTGTAAGTAGTATCCGGCAGGAACCTCAGTATTAATCTGCAAAATAACAAAACCTGCCTGACAGACTGATCAGAACATAGGTTTATCTTCTATGTTGTGACAGCCATTTCCATGTTTTTGCGATTATATGGTTTTAGACAAAGCAATCATTTTAGCAACTTTTTATCATTCTTCCCAAATAGCAAAGGCTCAAGTGGACATCTTTGTAATACAGTTGTCAGTATTTCTGACCCTCTTGTTTTGTGACATGACAGTCACAACCCCTACTCAATAGTTTCTGGGAATGAAGTCCATTGTAATGAAGGTGATCCTGTTAAAAACATTTAAAATATTTTAATTGTTAAATCAGTTTTAGTTATGTGCAATGTGGTTCAAAGGCAATCAGTGTTCCCCATAAGCTGCGCCCACACGCGTGCGCGCGCGCACATACACACACTCATCACAGTAATGCGCACGCTAGAATGAGCTCCATAAAGGAAGGAATCTTCATCTGTTTTGTTCACTGCTGTTTACCTAGCACATAGAACAGCACCTGGAACACCACAGGAACCCTATATTTGTGGAGAGAATTGTGCCATACAAAACACAGTGCTTGTGGCTTTATGTGTGTATAAACTGAACGTTCCCCAGAACAACACTGAAAAGTATGAGGTTCTGTTTTTCTTGACTGTACTTCCAAGTCCCTGTCAAATCTACTCTGTTCTCTGTGGGCATCTAACAATGTCAAAAATCATATTAATATTTATAACTTTTACATAATGCTTACAATGTCCAGAAACTGAGCTATGCACTTTGCATTTTCACTTAGTTCCCACAATAATGTTATAAATCAGGTGATGCTGTAACTCTCATTTTAATTGACGAGACAAACTGAATTACAGAGAGGTAAGTACCTTGAACTACACAAACTAGAATCCCTGATCTCATCAACTTATCATATGGCCTCCCGATGACCTTCTACTCACTAAGCCCTTTTCCTTACCAGCATGTGAGAGGACAGGCTACCCTTCTTTTCTTATGTCTCAAAATCCCCACTTCGCTTCTCAGTTCTCTTTCCCCAACCCGCCAATGCCAATGCCAGAATCCATCCTCTCTGTCTCAACTGGAATCAGTATGCTCTCAGGCACGTAGGATGGCTGACTAAACTTGTTACCCATTAGTGTAAATGTTTCCATCAATGGATTGCCTAAGCCAAACATTTCTATCTTCAACCTTTAATCTCTGCTGCTTAATGATAATAATAGATGGCTTTATCTAGTCATTAAGGAATTTGGCCATCAGCAAGAAATGGAGAAAAATATCTCCCAACATAGATATAATTTCATTAATTTGATACTGTTCATTATAAAGCTTACTTACCTATTTGTCAAGCATTGTGTTAGGTGATGGGGATACAAAGTTGGGTAAAGCAGAGCCCTGTCCTCTCAGAACTAAAGGAAGAGAGGGAACAGAGAAAAATGGCATTGATGTTTCAAATAAGGTAACGATGGTGGCCCCAAGGAGAGAAGATTTAAGTGTGCCTGAAGAGGTCAGATAAGTTTTGACAACAAAGGTAGTTTTTATGTGAGGTCTTAAGAAAAACAATATTAGAGAGAGCAAGAAATGGGGGACTTTAGATTGGGAAAAGGAACAATGTGAGCAAAGGTGAAGAAATGGGTAATTGCATGGATGGACCTAGAGGGTATTATGCTAAGTGAAATAAGTCAGACAGAGAAAGACAAATACTGTATGATTTCACTTATATGTGCAGTCTAAAAAAGAAAACAAATGAACTAACATAATTCAACAGAAACAGAGTTATAGATACTGAGAACAAACAGGTGGTTGCCAGAGGGGAGGTGGATGGGGGTATGGGTGAAATAAAAGAGGGAGATTAAGAGGTACAAACTTCCAATTATAAAATAAATGAGTCCAGAGATGAAATGTACAACATGAGGAATATAGTCAATTATACTGTAATATCTGTGTATGGTGACACATGGTAACTAGACTTTTCATCGTGATGATTTTGTAATATAAAGAAATATCCAGTCACTATGTCATGCACCTGAAACTAACATAGTGTTGTAGGTCAATTATTCTTTAATTATTAAAAATATATGCATATATAGACACAGAGTAAATGCATCAAACTGCTCATGGTCATTACCTATGAGAGGTGGGGATTATGGGTGATTGTTACTTTTTACTTTATCCTTTTATGTATTTCTAGTTGAATGCAATGAACATGTATCACTTGTAAAATTAGAAAGAAAACAATAAATGTCATTAAAAATGAAAAATAAATAAATCCCAACCTTATAATAAATTAGGAAATTGAAATATATGCTACATCTGAAGCTAATAAAAGAATAGAAATTAATCCAACAAAGTGTACCACTTTAAAAAGGGGAGAAAAGAACACTATATAAGAGTTTCAGTTCTGTCTTCACCAGTTCTCGACACTGTCAATTTTTCAAAAAACAATTCAATTGGTGTGTAGTAGTAATTTATTTACTTTAAATTTTTTTTTTACTTTTTAGTTTACATTTTTTTAAATGACTAATGTTGTAGAGTATCTTTTTACATGCTTGTTTGCCATTCGTATTTCTTCACCGGTGAAGTATTTGGATCTTTTGACATTTTAAAAAATTGGGTTGTTTTCTTACTGTTGAGTTTTGAGTTACGTATTTTGAATTCAAGTAAGTTATCAAACATACATATTGAAAATCTTTTGAAATGTATAATTACATGTGTGTTTAGAAACTGACAATCTATGTTAATTAGAATATGGGGTGGTGATGGGAGCAAAGAGTCTTCACTGAGGCAGGAACAAAGGCTACAGAAACCAAAAGGACCACTGGGTCCCTAGTCCTGCATAAAGAACAGTCCTCCAAGCCTACAAGGCAATGGTCAGGGGACACTCACAGCCATCTTCCTAAAACCACCAGTTTGGGGACATAGAACTTTCATAAGGGAATGTACTATGTATAGCATAGAATGCAAAAGACCTGAAGTTTTACAATAAAAGAGAGGAGTTTTATACTGATTTGTTTAAAATTAAACAACAGATTGTAGAAAGAAATTTGTTTTACTAAAAATTAAGGATGATGAATCACACTAAATTTTAATGAGGAGAATTTTGTAAAACAGGAATTTCAGGTATGTTTTGAAAAACTAATTATAAAATAAACATGATCCTTACCTTATTATTTCTTTCTGTGCTCATGGAAAGGTTGCCTAATTATGCTTAACACACATAATTGCTCCAAGGAGAAGCAACTCAAGTAGGGGATGCTGTAGCTTGAGAAAATCCATTCTCTACCGAAAGAATAGATAGCTCATCAATAACTGAATTAATACTATTTTTCCTTTCCTTAAGTGTCCTTGATGTTTGTCTAGAATGATTTAGGCAGTACCAGTGGGGAGGCAGGCAGATGATACATTCCTATAAGTAAGTCATGTTTATTCCTAATAAATTTTAAATATTGTAGAAACAATCACAGTAGTAGAGTCTGAGTTGTTTGGCTGCTTTCTTAGGGTACAAATTTATTTTTTAAAAGAAATCCTTAAGTTCTCAATTTAGAGATGATTAGAATAGAAAAATGTTTAAAGAACTAGAGGAATTCTTGGGTAGCCTGTATCAGCTGTAATACACTATAGTACTCTTAATCTGTTGCTCTGTGCCCCTCACACTCCCTGCCAGCCCTCTCCTCTTCTAGTAATCCCAACTCCCTCATAACACAACCATCTACCAGTTTCTCCAGCCAAAAATCTAGCAGTCATCCTTTATTTCTCTCTGTACTTTAGCTCGTACATCCTTGCCATCAATAAATCCTGCTGCTTCTACTTACCAAATATATCACAAAAGGGCTACTTCTCTCCACTGCCAGCACCTCAGCACCCCCCACAGTCCCTTCTCTACTAGACTACTTCAAACCCTCCAAGCGTCTCCATGCTTTCATTATGAATCATTCTCCGTAGAAGAGCCAATATCATCAACTTTAAAGGCTGGATCTCTATAGTACTTAATATATTTAAAAATATATAAAGAAAAATAGAGCTAACATTAACATAGCCACTAGGAAATTGATTGAACTAGGAAATAAAACGTTACCAACACATTTAAATCCCCTTATATATCTCTCCCCAATCAACTTTCCCATTCATTAACCTCCAACATTCCTGTATTTGATGTTTACCAACACACCTCTTCTGGGGGAATCTATTACATGTATCTGTAAGCAACATATAAATACTATTTCTGCATTTTTAAAGTTTGATAAAATATTTAGCCATTCTCCCGTGACATCCTCTTCCTTAAAACTTAGTTCTAAAGAGGACTCCCCTTCACTCACAGAATGAAGACAGCTAGTGAGGTCATGTCCTATGATGTTTCATAGACTCAGAGATGGCCCTAATGTGACCTTGGTGTTTTCCCAAGAGTATAGATAGTGTATAAACAGTGTCAACCTCATGATACTTAAAACTGTCTGAACCTCAGTTTACACATGAAGTGTCCAGAAGAATGAATTAAAAGACTGAAAATTATCATATTAAAAATAATTCATCATACTTAGGGAAAAGTAATTTGTCTTATTGTATAAATGACAATTTCAACAAGAGTATAAATTAAATGCAATTATATAAACTGAAAGATAGGGTATTTACATCCAAATATCATTCTAGTAATGGGCAGTTTAGATACATTCGATATAATAAAAATTTAGGATGTTAAAAATATCTACATTTTGGGCATCATAAAAAAGCAAAGACAGGAATTCTTCCTGCCCACTCAGTAACTCACAAATTTTTGCATAACAATTCCACAAACTGATCTCAGAAACAGAGCAATGGTACATTTTCTATGAGTACAGACTGTGAAATACTATGGATTGTGCTTTATATAATACTGTTTGAGGCAATCTGTATAAGAAATAACATCAAGATTCATAATTGCACAAATCTGAAAGGCCTTACATTTCTCATCACAAATTACCCTACTGTCATAACTCACAAAGAAGTAATTGTAGTATTTTATAAACTGTTTACTGTCTAAGATTGCAAATTGTTTAGCTAATTCATACAAACTTTTTGGCTGCAAATCTTCAATGTCATAGGCCTGGGTCAGGGTATACTCCAGCTTCCAATTAGATTTTCCCTTTAGATTAGCATCCGTCAGGTTCAAGTAATACTGTAGCACATCCTATAGTTAAAAAGAGTAACAAAGCCTGGTTCGTTTTTTGGCATATGACGTACTGCATATCAAGAAGAGTTCTTATTAGGATTTATGTGACATTCTTAATTTAAAGTACAGTCATTTTAAGAAGTGTGCATTGCTTTTAAAGAAAAAGAGTCCTGATAGAAAAATCTATATATTTTTTCATTTAAAAAATAATGAGGGCTTCCCTGGTGGCGCAGTGGTTGAGAGTCCGCCTGCCGATGCAGGGAACCCGGGTTCGTGCCCCGGTCCGGGAAGATCCCACATGCCGCAGGGCAGCTGGGCCCATGAGCCATGGCCGCTGAGCCTGCGTGTCCGGAGCCTGTGCTCCGCAACAGGAGAGGCCACAACAGTGAGAGGCCCATGTACCGCAAAAAAAAAAAAAAAGAAAGAAAGAACATAATACAAAATAATCCAACTATACAGAGGGACTTACAAAATAAAAAGCGTTCAATTCACACACATCAGAAGTAACCACTGCTAACAGTTGTATATAAATCAGTCATATGCAGGAGGTGGCTTGTACCAGCCCACAAATGCTGACTGTCAAATTTTCAGGCATCTTGCAAGTTAGTTGGTATCACTTTGGCAGCTTGAAATTGGCCATGATGGGAGTATTTATTCCATGGAAATTGGCAAACACTACAAATCAAAGCACTTTGCCCCCTGCCCGGTGAACCAGCTGTTAAACATTTACCAGCACTCCAGTGTGCTGTTCTAGACTTTATGTACAAAGAAATATAAGTATTTAGAATATATATACCTATTTCCTAACTTTTTGGCTTTTTCAAAAAATGAAATTAAACTATACAAACTGTTTTGCACTTTTAAAAATGATATAGTATTATATCAGGTACATCTTTCTATGTCAGTATACACACACACACATGCACACACACGTGTGTGTGTATCTGAGATTCAGATCCAAAAATAGGCAACTAATAGTTGTAAAAGAATTCCTTTGGGGACTTCCCTGGTGGAGCAGTGGTTAAGAATCCGCCTGCCAATGCAGAGGACACAGGTTCAAGCCCTGGTCCAGGGACCAGGGGAGATCCAGGTCCAGGAAGATCCCACATGCCGTAGAACAACTAAGCCTGTGCGCCACAACTAATGAGCCTGCGAGCCACAACTACTGAGCCCACGTGCCACAACTACTAAAACCCATGCACCTAGAGACTGTGCTCCACAACAAGAGAAGCCACCACAATGAGAAGCCCCCACTTGCCGCAACTAGAGAAAGCCCACATGCAGCAACAAAGACCCAATGCAGCCAAAAATAAATTAATTAATTAATTAAAAAAATTTCCTTTGGACTATTTTCTCAATTGTTTTATCTCCTCATTTAATTTAATGTTTATGGATTAAACCAGATTTTTTCTGCCCTATCTTTTCTTGTAAAAACATGCTCTAGGGATTAACAAATCTATCTCCTACTAAATTTACCTAGGAGAAGAATACAGTCACATCAATAGAGACTTTAACTGAGAAATTCTTTTCAAATTATATTTGTTGAAAGGGGCAGTACCCATAAGCTAAATGCCTGGCCTTTTGAGGCTGAATTGATATATAGAGTCATGTACCAGCTCCAGAGAGCTTTTGTCTCAAAAGTTCCAACTCAATTTATTTTCCTTACAAAAAAAATTTTGCCAACATTTATTGAGTGCTTACTGTGAGCCAAGCATTTTTCCACGTGCTTTAAGAATAGTTGTTTGGGCTTCCCTGGTGGCGCAATGGTTGAGAATCTGCCTGCCAGTGCAGGGGACACGGGTTCGAGCCCTGGGAAGATCCCAGATGCTGTGGAGCAACTAGGCCCGTGAGCCACAGCTACTGAGCCTGCGCGTCTGGAGCCTGTGCTCCACAACAAGAGAGGCCGCAATAGTGAGAGGCCTGCGCACCGCGATGAAGAGTGGCCCCCGCTTGCCACAACTGGAGAAAGCCCTCGCACAGAAACGAAGACCCAACACAGCCATAAATAAATAAATAAATAAATAATTTTAAAAAAAAAAAGAATAGTTGTTCATGTAGTCCTCACAGCAACTCAGTGAAGTCAGTAATATTTTAATCCCAGTTTTAAGGGGAATAGACTAGGACACAGAGAAGTAGGGTAAGACCACTCATGAGACAGTATGGTTTCAGAGCCTACATTCTTCTTCATAGCTGTGTTCAGGAGAAGAGTAATTAATAACAAATATGGAGTAGTGAAAGGTTTCAAATGTATGTAAGTCCACAAACAAGGCGCTACCCAATGAAACCCTTATCTAAGTAAATGTGAAGACCTTAGAAGACAGAAACAGCTTCCCAAAGGCTAACCTCATAAACCCACACTTAGAAAGTGCTGACATTCCAAATATAAAAAAGAAGAAAAACATCCTGAGATTTTAACATAAAGTACGACTCACAATAGCTGTGCTGAAAACATTCAACTAAACTAATGAAAACTACAAAGATATGCATAAATATGGGGTCAATTCTAAAATTGTACCAACTTACCAGTAATTTATAATCACGAGGATCATATTGAAATAGTCTGACACCAGGATTGTTGGTCTGTTTTTCTAAAACACTCTTCACTGGAGTAACAGCAGGAGCCACAAACAAAGAATTTATCGGATTTCCTAGACAAAATATATGTACATAAACATACATTTTTTAATAATTGAGTTTAACTATATTAAAAATATGAACAAATTCCAGATTAAGAGGTTAACAGAAGTAACGGCCAAATGCTGTGTGATGCCTGATGGACCCTGATCTGAAACAACACTAAAGAGACACTTTTGAGAAAATAGGGGAAGTTTTACTATGAAGAGATTAAAAGAATTATTGTTGATTTTGTTAGGTAAGTTAATGGTATTATTATTATGTAAGTTATCCATATACTTAGCAATGAATACAGAAGCATGTAGGGCTGAAATACAGTTGATGTATGAGATTTATGTTCAAATACTTCAGAGAAAAAAGAATAAAGAATCATAGATAAAATAAATGTGGCAAAATCTTGACAGATATTGAATATAAGTGATGGTACATGGGGGTTTGTCTTATAATTCTCTCTACCTATATATATATTTGAAATTTTTCATAATAAAACTATCCAACTTATTACAAGTACACACACACAAAATAGACAAAGCTAGTTTTTTTTGTACTCTACCTATAACAATATTCCAATAATCATATAACAAGAATTTGATTTAAGTGTCACCATGTTTTACACATATCTGCTATAACAGCAGTCCCCAGCCATTTTGGCACCAGGGACCAGTTTTGTGGAAGGCAATTTTCCCATGGGTCGGGGGTGGGTGGGTGGGGAGTGGGTGATGCTTCAGGCGGTAATGGGAGCGATGGGGAGTGATGGGGAACAGCAGATGAAGCTTCGCTCTGGGCGGCCCCGTTCCTAACAGGCTGCAGACAGTGGTCCGCAGCCCAGGGGTTGGGGACCCCTGTATTATAGAACTAAATTTCTGAGTAAAAAAGCTACCAAATGCTGAAAATGGTCATTTTTACCAAGCCCACTCATTCTAGATGAGGAAGGTAAAGCATTTCAAAAATGTTCCCCAGGGCTTCCGTGGTGGCGCAGTGGTTGAGAGTCCGCCTGCCGATGCAGCGGACACGGGTTCGTGCCCTGGTCCGGGAAGATCCCACATGCCGCGGAGCGGCTGGGCCCGTGAGCCATGGCCGCTGAGCCTGCGCGTCCGGAGCCTGTGCTCCGCAACGGGAAAGGCCAAAACAGTGAGAGGCCCACGAAAACAAAAAAAAAAAAAAATGTTCCCCCAATTCTGAAAAAAAAAAAAAATACATATTGATTTTTCTCCTGGCTGACTACTAAAAAATCAGAACTCTTACTTTGTTAACTCTCAGTTTTCTTGCCCTTATACAGAAGTTATCTTTAAAAATAGATAATCGTTGTCTTATTTAATACTAGAGCTTCTTCTATTTTTTTTCTTTTAATGCTGAGTAGATGACAATGTCGATAAGCACTTAAAAGTAGGAGCTTAATTTATTTTAAACCAACAGTAAATTGTGCTTTGCTCTTTAAATTCTGAGAAGTAAATCTAATCATATCAAAGGAAACTTGAGTCTAGCAGGTAAATAAAAAAGAGTGATTGTCTAAACTTGAGGACCTAAAAGAACATTTGAGTGAACTGAGGGTTTCAGAGGCTTTTGTGTCAACAGCAGTCACATGATGACGGCCTTGTGGAGCTAAAAGGAAGAAACCCAGTGGCAGGACTAAATATGATTTGGACAGTTGCCGTCACTCACAGAAGGTAACTGAGAAAAAGCAGGTGCTGGCAGGTAGATTTAATAAAACTTTTAATTTACTGGATCAGTAAAAATTAATGGATTTTCACTATTTTGTTCTAGCATCTTGGACTGAGGAGATGCAAATAGAATGTTATATTACCTTTTTTATCTGAAAGAACCATAATACTATCTCTGTGAGTGTGTCCATAAAATTGTCCTGCAATGATGTTACTGTATTTTCTAAAAATATCTATCAATTTCTCATTATAGTATTCTCTCATTGCCGTGATGCTCCTTGAATAAGGCAGGTACCCCACTGGAACATGAGCTATGATGTACACCTGGAGAAAGAAACTCAAAGAGGACTGATGAGAATCTTTTCGCACATTTTTCACAACAAAATGATTTAGATACCCAAGATTGAAAGTATATTAATTAAATTTTAGAAAGCAAATATACCATTTCTCCTATTTATTTACCAAAAAAAAGATGAAATTATGAAACTATTAATGGCCCTATATTTGCACTTGTCTATTGGAACTACATGGTTTATGATATAAGGTAACTGTGACGTTGCTCAAATTTTTTTTAAAAATATCAACAGATGTCAATCAATCTCCAGAGCATTAAAAGCAGAATAAAACAAGCAACAACAGCAGAGGCAAATCACAAAGTGTTTCATGTAAGAACATCTTTAAATTTTAATACTTTTATTAATCCCTGACCCCACTCAAGTCTAATAAGTATACAAGTTTAACCCTCTGTTCATCCCATGATGATGTTGGTCTATGGCATCTACCTTCTCCTTATTTTGCTGAGAGATGTTCAGTGTATTTTCTAGCCATTCAAACTGATTTGCTGGGTCAGTCTTATTTAGGGTCACGATATTTGGGCCATAGTATAAGTTTGTGTTGAGACTGATGATCCTAAAGTTCAGATTAGTTGAAACTTTCTGTGAATAAAAGCCACCTATAAAAACAAATTTGAAACACATTCTGGAATAATACACACACAGATACATATACACTGTGAAAGCAAAATCTTAATTAAGGTTTTCAATCCATTTAGGCAAGTTATACTTATTTCTTATTCTTTAGTTTGCACATACATAGGCTGTCATTGGATAAGAATCAGATTTAACAAACATTTATTGAAAACCTACTATGTGTCAAGTCCAATGCTGCCACTTCCACAAATTGAGGTAACAACAGTTGTATCCAACATTCACTTGAAAACATAACTAAATGCTTTGGCACTAGGCAATGAGGTACTGAATTTTATAAAAGAAAGATTAATACATCAACTTCTACTTTTGTATGTTTGGGGAATTAAGATAAGAGATATTGTGAAATCTAAAATCCAAAGAATGGGAACACACATGGATCTTGCCAGAGAATACTGAGGAAGAAATGTCAGATAAACCAGAGCTGCTACAATCTCAGGTGAGATGAGGCTTAAAGGTATAACCCCACTCACACATGTGAACCAGTGATGACAGAACACCCTGCTCCCGTGGCACGTTCAGCCACTGGGACCCTGACCCTGCTTTCTTCGCCCTGGGCCCACTCACCATCCATGCCACTCCCCGGCTTTCAAACATGATAAGGCCTCCAGAGAAACTGGGCACAGGGACTCTGCAGAATTGGCACACCCAAGCAAACATTAAAGATCTAAGTCTAAACAACATGAACTGAGATAAAAAATAGAGATAAAATAGGGATGAGTAAATCTTTCACTTACCTTTCCTTAGAGTACTAATAGCTTCTTCATCCAGCCATGGCTTCCAGAGGCTTGCTACTGCATTGTACACCTTGCTGGTGAATACAGGCAGTTGATCCTGGCCACAAACAATATAATCCACCAGTGAAACTCTGAAGATATGTGGATGAATTAATGTAAATATCACTTGAGCAGTTACTACTATGTTAGGCATCTGGAGATGCAGGAATACTAGATAGACTTGATTTTCAAGGATTTACAACTTAACTGGGGAGATGGAGGACAAAATGCAACCAATCATCTGTAAGACAATATGCTAGGTACCACCACAAGGGTTCTGGGAGTGGAAAAGCAAGAACAATCAAGTCTAGCCCAGAAAGTCAGCAGGGAGAGTGAAAAGAGCATTTGAACCAGAACTTGAATAATGATTTCATCAAGTTGACAAGAAAGGGAATCAAAGCAAAAATAATGGCCCAGACACCAACACAGTGCCATATACAGAAACAAGCCCTTGTTTCAGCGTGACTGGGGTACAGAATGGACGTGAGAATATGCTTATTATAGAGACACTGAAGGCAGGTTTTAGCCTGAATATGTAGGACCTGGTGTAGCATGCCTAGGAGATGGATTTCAGAATTAAATGAAGTCCTCTGGAATGTTAATACTAGTATAAAGCTTTTTAACTTCTTGAATGAAGACTTATAACCACATGTTTTTGATTTTTTGTTTGTTTTATTGGAGTATATAGTTGCTTTACAGTGTTGTGTTAGTTTCTGTTGTACAGCAAAGTGAATCAGTTGTACGTATACATATATCCTCTCTTATTTAGATTTCCTTCTCATTCAGGTTACCACAGAGCACTGAGTAGAGTTCCCCGTGCTATAAGGGTGTGGTAAAAAGGGAACCCTCCTGCACTGTTGGTGGGAATGTAAACTGATACAACCACTATGGAAAACAGTATGGAGGCTCCTTAAAAAACTAAGAATAGAACTACCATGTGACTCAGCAATCCCACTACTGGGCATATACCCTGAGAAAACCATAATTCAAAAAGAGTCATGTACCACAATGTTCATTGCAGCTCTATTTACAATAGCCAGGACATGGAACCAACCTAAGTGTCCATCGACAGATGAATGGGTAAAGAATATGTGGTACATATATACAACGGACTATTACTCAGCCATAAAAAGAAACGAAATTGAGTTATTTGTAGTGAGGTGGATAGACCTAGAGTCTGTCATACAGAGTAAAGTAAGTTAGAAAGAGAAAAACATGTTTTTGATTTGAAGTCTCTTTATGTCAGCCTAAATCATATCGTTCTGATTTTTTAAATAATATATGTATAATACATTATACCGTATTTTTATCATCCTATTTTATCATATTATAATAAAGTATCTTTATGGTGACATAAGCGCAGGGGAAGAAAAAAAACTTCAAGAAAGTACATACTGAATAAAAACCCAGAAATCATTTGTGAAATTGGGTAATTATTCCTATTTTTCATTTCAAAAAATTATGGTAAAAAACTGAAGCCATTTTCTTCACTCTCTTCATTTCCTTCTCTATATTGGTGACACAGACCTATTTCTTAAAGGAGTTTCCCTGTCATCAGTAATTAAAATTCTTAGTTTATTTTTTTTTTTAAAGATGACACCCAAGTCACATTAGTTCCTAATACATGTGCCTAATACATAATGAAAATACAAATATATTCAGGGCAAGTAATAAGCAAATGACTTCTTTTAACTGAAACTGATTATCCAAAGGATATTTTCAATTTGTGTCAGCGATCAGAGTCATCTGTCTGAAAATTACACAATGGCTTAGGCCAATCTAAATTCTGATTAAAAATTGGTAATTATCATCATCATCATCAAAAACCTAATATCTTAGCCATTTGTTTACATTGGGATGGATGCCAAGATACTGGTATGGTCATGTAGAATCAAAATTATATAAACATTGCTCTAGATTTTTCTGTCTATTTTAAGTATGAAAAACATGAGCACCAGAGAAGTTAAGTGATTTATCCAGGGAGAGCTGGTCAGTCCCAGAGCTGGGTCTAAATCGCAGGTCTTTCTACCATCACTCTTACATCCAGTTATCTATTGCACAATGGGAAGTGACCCACTCACCAGTTTGGTAGCACCAGCCTTGCCATTGTAGGAGTACCTGAGGACCCTGGCCCAGACTGCTTCCTTGCATGGCAATGGGAAGAAATCCCTGGATTGTCCACACAAATATCTACTTCTGATGTAGTGGGTTGGAATTTGCGTCTGTATTTGTATGTTGATGTAGCTATGTTTAAATACATGTTTATGGGGTTTTAGTGGAGAAATAACACATCCGATTTATTTGTTACTAACATTCACTGGAATTTGATCTCAGATATGAGAAGTCTCCAGGAGAATTTGTTGTAGGGCTTTCGTGTTACATCTGACCTTCCTGAAACTGGGATGGAAGGACGGCAGTAGAATAATAGAAGGTTTTCAGGTATAAGGTCATAAGCTAGGAAGAGAAAAAAATTAACTGTTTAAGGTATAAAGGCTGCCAGTTTATCCTAGCTGGACATATAATCGGATATATTTTAGAAGTTGGATAGCATCTATATCTTTGAATTATTATAAGATTTGGCTTTGCAGAAAGAAGGCAGAGATAAAAGTAAAATAAAACCAGTCCTCAGGGGAGTTAGGAAACATGTGTCCCATGTCACTGCTTCATGCTACAAAACCACCACTTCACTTACTGAGGGCTTATTATGTGCCAGGTAGGAAACTATGCCCTTTCCACATAGTGTCGCTAATTCTCCCCAAAACTTTGCAAAGTAGGTATTACTGCTCTTGTTTACAAATGATCAGGGATAATTATGTGCATTACCCAAGTTGCTCAAGCTATTAGAAGCAGGACAGAACAGGTTTTTAACTTCCAGTGAATGTGACTCTAAACCCCACACGTTTTCTATTACAACAGTCTGCCTGTCACCTAAAGCATATAAAAGCAATGTGTGTAACCTCTGATTCCTGGAGACTGCCCATTCCCAAGCCTCTGCCCTGTGTGGTCTAACATCTCAACAGTAACAAAAGCTGACCACTGGTTGAAAGGCCAACTCGCAAAGACTCACATATTGTTCATCTCAAGACAGGAGGCCGGGCTCGAGAAGTCACTTGAAACTTAAGCTCATCATAGAGTGTAACTTTTCAAAGTCACATTATTCACATTAATTAACTATTATAATCAAAACCTTCATTAAGCAGCCTTTGGACATGAGATGGAAAAGATATGCTAAACCAAAAGAAAAATGTAGACAAAGAAATGCATGAAAGTAGATATAATGTTTAGGAAATATTGATATGTTAGTCTGGCAAGAGTAAAGGATGTGTGAAAGGATGTTTGTTTAACTGAACACAAAAGATCCAGGATGTGGGCTCTCCCACTAAGTGATTGCGAGCACCGGAACAAGCAACTTAACATTTCTGGGCCTCAGTTTTCTCTTCTGTAAAATGAAGAGTTCATCTAGACAAGGGGTCAGCAAACTTTTTCTATGAAGGGTCAAAAAATAAATATTACTTTAGGCTTCTGGGCCACATAGTCAATGCAGCAACTATTCTACTCTGCTGTTACAGTACACAAGCAGCCACTGGCAAAACAGAAAGCACAGCCATGGCTGTGTTCCAGCAAAACTTTATTTACAAAAACAAGTGTCACACTGCATTCGGACCACAGGCCCTAGTTTGCCAAGCCCTGAACTAAACAACAATCTCTAAGATCTCTTGAATCTGAACAAATCTAAGATTCTACACTGCTATAGCAGATGGCTGTAACCAGCGCTGCTATCCTATTGTTACGCACAGGCTGTTTCATAAACAGCCACCCTACTAGGTTGAAGCCTGGGCCGTATCAGGCATAAAAAATATTCTGAACATGCTCTCTACCTTGAATCACATCTTGAACATGGACCTCCCTTTTGGGTTCTTATGATGATTTGCTATGCTTTTGTTTTTAATCACAATCCAGCTTAGATCAGAGTATGGGTAGTTTAGTAGGCCTAATAGAAATTCTGAAAAATGTAAACATTTGTCAACATTAACCGTTTTTGCTAACCTGAACGTGGAAATTCAGATGAACAAAATTATTCAAAAGCAAGGAGAAACTGAGGAAGAATACAAAAGAAATCAAGAATTAATAACTCACAAACTAGGTAATTTGATTCCAAAATCTCGCTATGGATGTAAGTTTGTTTGTTTGTTTGTTTGTTTTTGCGGTACGCGGGCCTCTCACTGCTGTGGCCTCTCCCGTTGCGGAGCACAGGCTCCGGACGCGTAGGCTCAGCGGCCATGGCTCACGGACCCAGCTGCTCCGCGGCACACGGGATCCTCCCGGACCGGGGCACGAACCCGTGTCCCCTGCATCGGCAGGCGGACTCTCAACCACTGCGCCACCAGGGAAGCCCTGGATATAACTTTTTATGAACTATTAGGAGTCCCTTTCAAGTCCCCAAAGCACTTGTCTTGCCTTCCTCGATGGTTAGCATTCAGAGCAAACTCCACCTCCAGGAGCGCCCCTCCCACGCCCTATCATCGGCTAGTTATCAGCATAATTTTGACACTATTGATGGAAAAAATCCTTTAAGCATTTCTAGAAGTTGTGGTCAAGTTTACCTGTGGCCAATAGTCATGATTACCCAGTGCAGGGAAAACCTGGAGATTTGGAAAGAGACTCTGGACTGTGGTGGTCATATTAGCAATCACATTTATGACCGTGTCTGTTGAGAGTTCACGCACTGGAACATGAGGTGGGCTATCCCTGAAAAGGAGACAGAATCATAGAGAACAAAATCAGTTGCTATAAAAAGTCACTAGACTCCTGTGTAATGCCTTGCTGTATTGTCATCGTCAAATTCCACTATAAATCAACAGATGATAAAGAGTTGATAAACTACTCTTCATTTACCTTTGTCCCACAGGGAAGCCTATACAAAAGAACATTTGTGAAATACAAAAGATAAACTGGAAATCTCAGTCTATTTCACTGCCTGACTGAAGATTTATAAGAGGCAAAAATTTTTAGCAATTAAAAGCACAGATTCCAGGGCCAAAAGTGCCAGGTTTGCCATTTATTAGCTGTGTGCACTTGGGCAAGTTACTTAGATACTCAGTGCCTTCATTTCCTTATCTGTAAAATGGGAATAATAATATCCATTGTGAAGATTAAATGAGTTACAATGTATAAATTAAAACAGTGCCACGGTCATTACTTCAGGTCCAGGAAATATTAGGCCTCTTCACTCTGTCATGATGGATGGAATTTGTTAATTACACCACCAGACGATGATGTTTGCAAAATCGCTATCACAGGTTAACTCCCATTGTTGCCTTTTGTTTTTGGATTATTTAATCAAGACCTATTATCACATTAATAAACACCTCAAGACACTGACACAAATACGCTGTTTATGGATTCATCTCTTAGTTAACATGGACATATTTCTAGAGCCTGTATTCTAAACAAACAAACAGAGAAACAAAACTGGGTCTTTTAAAGTTTTTCTTATCCCTAATAATGTTGATTAATTTGATCTAGTATTTTTTTAAACCCCAAGAATTCTTAAAACGTAATATATATTCTTATGAAATTCGGCATTCTAATGAAGTTTAGGACACTGTAGATACATACTGAGTAACTAAGGGTATTTATATAATCACTCACCCTGTCCATATCATAAAAGATGCTTCCTGTCCTGAATTTTTAATAAAATCAAATGCTGACAAAATGAGGTGATAAGGAGAATCACATAGAACATCTCCAAAAGGGCCAGGATTGGAGGCGCTTGCACCTTTCGAGGAAGCGCACACTTTTGTGTGGTCATCTGTGATGTGGTAAGTAGGGTCTAAGTGTAAGTCAGTCACGTGCCAAAACTGTCCTGGTGATGAGAAAATAAATGCGGTTAAACCTACTTCTCTTTTGGAATTCCCATACCAATATTTACAGTATGACGAGACAGTTGCTCCACCCTGTGATAGAGGAAGCTCCACCCTGTGATAGAGGAAAGCCTTAGTCATTTAAATATTCATATGCCCTGAAGTTAAATACACTCCCTGTCAGAAATAAGGATTCTAAAGACAATAGGAAGACTTTACTAGAATTTACTATTTACACACATCAGAACTGATGAAGTCCCTCAAAGCATGACTACTTAATAAAGACTACAGGACAAACATAAGTTTGCATAGTGATATATATGGAGACATCCTTCTGGCAAGTCAATAATAATCCCATATTGTATCTTAATAGCATGTCTCCTTCCTTGTAGAATTTAAGGTTTTAGAATTTATTTATTTTCTTGTAGAAAAATGGACAAAAATATGTGTTTTATTAGGGTCACACAGTGAATAGATTGCAGAACTTGTAACTAATAAATCTCACTCCTAATTTCTTGTAAAATCTTGCCTCTCAATATTAATGAAAAAAAGAGTCTTCAGTTTAGCTTTCAGCCCAAAATAGCCAACTGCCAGAGGTTCTTAAAAGCTATTTAACAGAGGAACATCTTCTATCACACACTTGTATAAGATGTTTATAATATTAAGGGAAGCATTTGTTAAAGAAGATGCTTCCACTGGGTTTTCAGGGAGAAGCCCAAGACTCACTTGATAGCACCCCTGATTGGAAATCATCTTGAGAAAGATTCTTTCATTGAAGGAAACACAGGTTAATCATAGTAGTATCTCTCTTTATTAAGTATTTACTATGTGCCAGACATTGTAATAAGCAATTTAAATATACTGTGTCATTTCATTCTCAAAACTACTCTCTGAAGTAGGAATCACTGTTCTCATTTTAGAGTTGAGAAATTAATGCTGGATCAGTTAGAAAATTTGCTCTAGTATATACAGCTTAATAAATGGCAGAGACAAAATCTGACCCCTCATTTTGAAGGGCCCTCAAGTGTGCTTATACTTAATTCACATATATCTTCAGTGATTTTGCTGCCTTCTCATATGCGACCAATAAACTGTTTTAATATTGAGACTTTTTCACACTTTGAATTTGGAGCTCACTCTGATTAGGACCAATTTACAATAGGAAACATCAGAAGTGACATAGCAGCAGGACTACACCAGAAGCATGGAGCAAATAAGTAGAATGCAAACTTTTATCTATACAAATGATGAAAGCTAAGTATGATAAAAGCTAAGTATGCACCTTGGATAAAACCCAAAGCTGGATAATAAAGTAGAAAACTGAAAGCAGTTTACTGAAGGTGGAAAAGGTGTACTATATTTAGGATGTTATTTCTTTGCAAAGTTGTTGTAATTTTATAACACATTTAAGTTCACAGCTAAGAAGTGGTAGACAGAAGATCCAGAACAAAGTAGTCATTAAATAGTCTTTACGGTCAATTACTTGGTATTCAGCCCCCATTTGAAAACATTTGCCAAGAGTTATTTCCTTCCATAATGCAGAAAGTACTGCAACTCTTTTTCCAGCTTGGACATACTTTACCCAGCACATAAAGTGGTTTGGCAGATAGCTCAGAATCATCCTGGTGGCTGCCCTTCCTTGGGGTATAAATATATACTGCATCTCTATTTTACGTAAATATGTACATTATTATTCATAGAATGTTAAGGTATGTAGTAAACTACACACAGAACAGCACAGTGTTATGGTTAAGGATGGGGGCTCTGGAATCAGACCGCCTTACTTCAAATCCAAGCTCTTCTTCCTAATCTAGTTGTATGATCTCGGCCTGTTTCATCTGTAAAATGGGAATAATATTATTGTCTACTGAATGAGGGTTAAGTGACTTAGTAGCAGAAAGAGCCTGGCATCTGGTCAGCTCAACATTAGTTGTATTGTTATTCATTTGTAATGTCAAGCTTGCATCTGAGATTGAATTTCCTCATTTCCAAGTAGTAGCTGAAATGTACTGAGTACTTACTGTAAGTTTAATACTGTTTCTTATGCTTTACGTGTATTGACTGACCATTATTTCCATTTTACAGGTAAGGAACTGCAGCACTCAGAAATTAAGTGCAAGTCACATATGTCATATGCAGCAGAACCAAGACAGCAATTCAGGAAATCTGACTCCAGAGTCCACACGGCTCTTAACCACTGCACACAGTACCTCTCTGTGCATGCTCACATTCAAATGTCCTTCCAGAAAACAGAAGTCCTTCCGTCTCACTTGCCTGGTGTAAGATAGATAACAGCTACACCTATAGGGGATACTGTGACAAGTAAGGGACATGAAATTATTAATATATTAAACTTTGTAAAACAAAACTGGAAACACATTAAGGACACATTACATTCCTCTGATGTAACCTATTACCTGGATTTATATATCCCCAGCATCCAGAATACGTCTGACCTATAGTAGGTCCTCAACAAACATTCTTTAATTAGGCACAGGCAGATTCAGAATTTCCTCAATATCACATGGTGACTCAGTGATGAAAGCTGAAATGGAACCTGTCTCTCCAGACTTGCAGTCTAGCGCCCTTTCCACTACATTGGATTGCTAGACAGATAAGTGAGGAATAATTATGTAGGTGCACTGAAGGGTGTCTTTAAATAGAAGCCAAGAATGGAGCCCTGACAGGTTCTTAACCTGGGATTTATGAATAATGAACCTCTGGAGGCCTCACGTCCCACCTCTAATGAAATTTATACAAAATACTGTGTGTGTGTGTGTGTGTGTGTGTGTGTGTGTGTGTCCAAGGCCAGAGACCTGGCCTGTGGCAGAGCCCACACTTCAATTGATTCTCTGGTTCGCAGTCCAGTGTTCTTTTCACTACACAACAATTGTTTTCTTGTTCTGCAGATAATCTTTAAAAAGATTCCCACATATGTATATGTGTATGTGTGTGTGTGTTGTAAACATATCTGGATAAATGCTCAAAACAATCTTATTTTATCTTTGGGATAATGTATCCCAAAGAAGCTAGTATATCATAATTCAGATGTTTGGACATATGGTTGTTGTTTAAAATAGGTGTTTTTGTTTATTTCTTTATAATGTCAGTTCCTACCAAATATTCCATCAGGTCCTGACTTACTAAATCTAAAAAATTGTGGCAAACACAATCAGGTGAAGTCTCCCTGGGCTATTGTCCTCTGACCACTGGGACTTGACAGTACAGAAAGTTGAGACCGGGAATTGGCACACACACACACACACACACACACACACACACACACACACACACACAACGGTGTAAAGAAGTCCTAGCATTTGGGGTGGGAACAGGGGGAGAGAGAAGGTCACATCAAGCAGAAAGCATATGAATTAATATATCCAATGTGAACCTGCTGAATGGACACTTCAGCAGGTCTTTGAACCTTGGTTCCCCCTCTCCCTCTCTCTTCCCCAGGTGTAGCTTCCCTACAGAAACAGGGCGGTGTGAAGTGGAGACTCACTAGACCCCAGAAAGCTGTCATTGAGGCCTTCAGCAATCGGATCCTTAAAACCAAAAGGTGCATTTGCCATGGGTGGGCCTCCTGCATCCTAGGACATTTTATCTCAAAATCCTAGACAGCCACATAATTAAAGAAAAACAGCTTTAATGAAGGCAGAAGCCAGCAGCATGCATAAGTATTTGAGGACAATTTCTTGTTACCACTGACAGTTGGGAAATAAGATTGACAGTTCTTGCTTTCAACTGCCTGACAGCTGAGTCATGAGGACTTGGCTCCTGAACAAACAGGAGGCATTTTTTGCCCAGAGCATTTCCGAAATCATGTGAGAGTCAAGTGATGGAGAAGAGAGGAGGTTTCAGAGCCAAGTACTAAGCTGTTTCAGAGACAGCTATGACCAAACCACAGAACACAACCCCACCCATCCCATTTCGCCCCCTCTAGATAACAAAGCAATTATGTTTTAAGTTGAGTCAGGGAGGTGAGGGTGGGCACCTTGACCTTTAGCACTGAAGGCTCAGGTGGCATCACAAAATCTCTCATCCAACGTTTATCCATTCTGGACCAGTGGTTCTCAGACTCTAGCATCTATCACAATCACCTGGACGATTTGTTAAACAGATCGTTGGGGCTCAATTCTCCGAGAGTTTCGGGTTTGGCAGGTCTGGGATGGGGCTAAAAACTTGCATTTTTAACGCGTTTAAGCGATGCTGGTGCTACTGGTGCCGGACCCCATTTTGAGAACCACTTCTGTACAGGCGCTGGGCTAAGCGTTGGGAATGAATTAACATCGGCCCTGCCGGCGGGGAGCCCAGGGGCGTCCAGGTAAAGTGAAGGCCCCGTGCGTTCTAACGTAGACTAACCAGCGCGGAGCGCCAGGGCCGCAACCGCGCTGGGGTTGGAGGGGTGGGAAGAAAAGGCCACCAAATTTGACGCGCAGAACAGAAGAAACTCAGTCCCACTGAAATTTATGCTGCTGAGAAGCTGAAACCCCGCAGCTCCCCCTCTGCTCTGGGCAGATTCGGGGCCTCTGGAAATGCGGGACACCCAGCCCCCAGCTTCTTTTTTCCTTGAGACACCCAGTTTTTCCTTCCTTTCCTCCGGGCACAAAACACACCTGGAGACGCAAAGCGAAAACAACTGCACGGGAGGAGCAGCGGCCCCCACTGTCCGCAGCCAGTCCCGGCCTCCCCGCCGAGCCGAGCTGGCGCTCGTGTCCTTCCGTCGCCCTCGCCCTCCCCGCGCCCCGAAGGGGGAGTCGCAGCCCAGAGCCTTGGCTGGGGCCACTGCTGCCCACACGCACTTTTCTCGGCTTTGCGCAGGCGCTCTGGCCGCCGCTCCCGGGCAGCTCCCAGCAGGATAAGGGTACAGACGACTCACCCACCGCCGGACTGGGACTCGGGCCGCCAGTGGGAGCCAGAGGCAGTCCGAGGCCGGGGCGGCAGTGCCAAGCAGCCAGCAGGCAGCAGACGAGCGCGCCCAGCCGCGCCATCGCGGGTCGCGGCCACGGGCCTGGGAGACCTATTACAGTCCCGGGGCTCCACACGACCGTAGGGTCCGGGGCTGGGGAGGAGGAAGACCTCTGCTGGGGTTGACGCCCAGTGGTCACGTGAGAGGGCAGAGTCCTTAATGAGTAGGTTCGGTTGACTTTCAACAGCTGTCTAGCTATAATCCGGCTTTTCCCGTTGCTGTTTGTGTCTCAACGTCAGTAACTGGCCTGGGAAGGAATGTGCTTGGAGCAACCCCTCGCAGATCATCTTCCCTAAGTGCCACCTGACCCTGAGCGCATGGGACTCCTCTGCAGAAGTGATGCAGAGAACCTCGAAGTGTCTCAACTTGAACTAGGTCAGCAGAGATTTGGGATACAGTGGATCTGAGTGTGGGCCCTCGACCAGCCGTGTTAGCACTACCTGGGAAGTCTAGTTAGAAGGGAAAATTCCCAGGCCGGGCAGGGACCTACTGAGCCACAAACTCTGAGGGTGAAGCCTAGTCGTTTGTGTGTACAAGTCCTCTACGTGACGCTAAAGTGATGGTGATGTTTGAGAACCACTGCTCAGAAAACACTAGGTTTCAGTTTTTTATTCGTTTGGCTTTTTTTCTTTGTTTTTGAAACTGAGAACAATGTCTCAGAACCATATTCTATGCATTCCAGCGATATACAAAAATCATAGAACTGGTTGATTTTACTCTTCAAGGAATTTTTGAAGATACTCAGTCTGACAAAGGAGCCAAGATCTCCAAACTTCGTTGGGTTCTGTGGTCCTTCTATTACCATTTATGAGGATGCTGACTTCTTTAAGATAAGGGAACATGTAGTTTAAATTTGTAGGGCGTAGAATTCCTCTGAAGAAGAAAAAACCCTCCAGAATTACTAACCTCATAAAAGATGTTGTAAAGTGTATTTGTTTCCCAACAGAGAAAACCTTATTTTGTATGCTGCGTAATTTAATGGGAAAGTGTCTCATGAAACGGGCTTTGAAATGGGAGTTAGGGTGCCTCTATTTTATGCTTCATATGCTGCCAGAGCTGTTCAAGTTCTGCTTCAGCTGCTTCTGCTTCTGCATCAAAAGCCTTTGGAGAACCAAAGTGCTTTCCTATTGTGGAAAAAATTGTCCTTGGAGTTTCTCAGTCAACAACCTCAAGAGTGTGGAGGAAAATGGAGCAAGATTTAAAAAAAAAAGGAAAATGGATGTGAGAGAACAACTCTAAGGACAGCAATATAACTTGCATGTTTCTAGGACAAGCATTTTGAAAGATAGAAAAAGGATTTTAAAAAATTGTAAAAATAGCAATTCTCACTCTTCTTTTGCCAATTTTCAGTCAGCTTTACTGGAAGTAAATTGGTTGTGAAATAATTCTTCTTAAGTAAGCATAAAATATGGCGTACACATTTTGAAACCTAAGAAGTGCTTGCAGTTTTAAAAAGGCAACATATTGAGTTAATGGGTAGAAACACTATCCTGCCTTTGACTCCCTCTGCTTTCTTTTGTTTTCCTTTATACCCTCTCTCTGAGGAGCACAAAGCTACAGTGCCTTACCATCTCTGGGTGTATACCTCACACCTGGGCACGTATTTGTAGGTCCCCATGTTCCAGGTGTAGGTGTAATTTGTTGTGAGCGTGTGTATCTGGGTGAGAGACTGCACCAGTGACAAAGTGGTTCGTGACTAGATTTCACAAGACAACCTTTAGCATAGTCAGTATCTGAGATCTTGGAATTTCAGAGATGTTCTTCCAGGGCCAGTTGGTCAAATTGCCTTTGGGCTTAGTAGTTTTTCCTTTTCAAATGCGTTGAAAAAATTTTAAAGAGGCAAACCAGAAAAGTACCTTGGCAGGTTACTGTATGAGATAGAATATAGCTTGAAGGAAAATGATTTGTAACTACCTTGTAAACATTTAGGAAGTAAATATCCTTGTTATTTGTCTTCCAGAAAACTGCATTTGATCTACCGCTGCAACTCTTGAGATTTTAACCCAGTGTAACTTTGCTTCCCACTAGGCCATCCCAAAACTTTTCCATTTTTCAGACAGTTGTTACGGAAATGAATGCCAGGATGTTATTTGACCTAATTATAATGAGACGAAGCTAAATCCCTATCCTTGCCCTTGTATCTTTAAGAATAGAGAGGCCAGAAGCCGTGCTTCTATCAGAGCATAGGCTGAAATGACCAAGAGAAAGCAGTCTTCCTCCAGAAGCAGAGATGAAGGTTTTCAGAGCTATTGGAGCAAACACCCTCTCTATGTTCTGTTTCATGCTTTTAAAGACAAAGGTAGACTCTAGTTTTAGTAATGGTAACTTGAGCTAGACCATCATATCCTGACATTCAGTAATAATTGTACATTCACGTGTTAAATCCTATAGCTGCACTTTAGATTTTTTCTACTCTTTACTGCAGTAGTTATAAGTAATACAATAGTCAGGTACTAGTATCTTTGTGTTGAACTGTGTAAGTTAAGGGAAGTTTCCTCAAACTTATATCTGTAAGTTAATTGGACTTTGAATTAACTTATAGAAACTTATTGAAAATATTGGGTTGATTAAAAATGAATACTGAATGTTTGTCCTGAAAAATATTTACCCTTTCCCTGCCCCATGCACCAGCCTTCACAGAGGCTAACGGGAAAGTTTTCCTAAGGAGTAATTCAGGGAAAATAAAATCTTACATTTTTGTTTCAAAAGAAAATTTAGCTGAAATATTAATTTTTGAGAAGAAATAAGCAGGAAGATTGCAAGGTTTGCATTTCTCAGTATTATTCACTAGTCAAGAGAACTTGGACATGTTAATCGAATCTTCAGTTTCCTCATCGGTAAAGTAAAAATAATAATATCTGCCTTACCTGCTTCACATTGTGGGTTTGAAAACATGTACAAAAATCGTCTTATAAACAGTGAAATACGAAATAATATTTGTACTTTACAAATGCAAATCTTAGCCAGTCATAAACAGATATTTACTTTCCTTTGGTCAACTCAGTTCCACCAACCTCGCACACCCCTGCTTCCCCACCACCACACAGACACACTGGCACACACACACACAATGCCCTCTGCACACTCCATTTTATCCGTTTTAGCACTTATAGACTTTGTTCAGCTCAGTGTCCTTGTCTGGAGATGCATCTTTATAGTGTTAGCACAAGTTCGTGTGCCCAATGCACAATGAGGCCAAACAAACTGAAACGTCAGAGTCTGGAGCAGAGAAAGGTTTATTGCAGGGCCATGCGAGGAGACAGGTGGCTTCTGCCCTAAAAGCCCTGAGCTCCCCGAATTGTTTGGCCAAACATTTTTAAAAGCCAGGTGAGGGAGGTGGGGTTGCAGGGTATGTGATCAACTCATGCACAATTCTCTGACTGACTGATGGTGAGGTAACAGGGTTGTGTCACAAGCGTTCACATGATCAGTCCTTAGGCTCCAGGAGGCCTGGGGGCTATGTGCTCATGGTCATCAAGTAGTTAACATCTTCCATTTGGTGGGGGGTTTTCACATCTGGAAAACAACTCAGGAAATGTGCATCAAATACTGTTATCTAGGTACTTCAGAGAGGAGCTAAAGCAGAGGATATGGAGGGAGGCCTGTCCCAGGAAGGCCCCATAGGGTCCTACTTGGTTACAATAGTCTCGGATAAAATTCACTCCCTGGTCCTATTTACCTTTCAATAAGAAGCTTGAATTACGTGCCATTTTGATTATATGAGATTTTGATTATATTTACTCTTTAATAAGACATTTTCATGTATATCAGCTTGCTTCTTCAGACTGCCTGTTTCTAGTAGCAAGAGGTCATTCGTGCAGTCCAGCCCACCATAACAAAGCTCCTTTGGATCCTGGACATCCCCAATTCTCTACAGAAGTACCAATCCAAATTTTTCCACGTTTTCCTGGGCTTCTGCTTATTTTTTAAATTAGTATTTTAAACAAAGTGCTAACTTCCCCAGCCTGACTTTATGCCATAAAAAAAGGCTATTTAAAACTCTCTAATATATAGTTCCCAGCCAGATTAGTGATATTAACAACAACAACAAATTTCTCATGGGTGTAAGATTTTTATTCCAATTTGATTTGCATTCCATTGGAAATTAAAGAATGTATTCCCTTCTTTATTTTAAAAAAAAGTAGTTTACAATTTTAATAGGAATTATAAAATGTGATAAATCTGCAGATCAAAAATGGCTTTGATTGCTTGCAGTAACAAGTCTTTAAAACAAGTTTTGAAGTCATCATTTTCCACCTCCACACCAAGGATAACCTTCTAATAAGTGATCGGCCGTGCTGTAACAGCAGTAGAGCACTGAGACTTGGGTAAACAGAAAGATTGTAGAACTTCTCCAGCCCCAGATCAGGATGTTTTCTATGCCTTCTCATAGTGGCGAATGGCAACCACATCACCAAAAGTAAGAGTCTGAAAGATTCAAAAGATAACCAAATCCTTTTACACAGGTACATCAGTAGCTGGAAATTTTAAAGATTATCATGTTATGTTATTTTAAAGATTATCATATATATGATTTAAGTATTATACAAAAGAATAATGGCATTTACAAACATTAAATGTTGCGTAAGTCTTCATTTTTTGAAAAGAAACCCTTATATTTATCTCGTGAATGACATGTATACACAGTTCATGTCTCTAAAAGAAATATGAGGCAAAAACTGAGATTATCTAGATTCAGGTCAAAAGAATTCCTTTTGCCTTAAATTATCAGGGTAATTGGAGCAGATTAGCCATCTGCTTTAAAAAGTATATAAAATTTATAGTAGGTTTTCATGATACTTTACAATTCATGACCTAGATAAATTTTGAAGAGTTTTTTGAAAACCCAAATTCTTTGGACAAATGGTATTTGCAATGATCTGTTCCACAATCAGCAGGAAAAGGCAAATGTACAAACGTTCTCGTTGCTTTGGCTGTCATGTTGTAGCCTATGTGAACCTTGGTGGTTGTGTGGCTATAATGTGCAACATGGGCTCTTGTATCTAAGCCAACTTGAAGAATTGCTATAAATCGTCTTTACAAAATTTAGTGTTTTTTAGTGTTCATCATTTTCATGTAGTCCTGTGATTTCCAAGAGTATAGTGTGCCCTTGTCATCCATCACTTTCATTTCCTTGTTTGAACTCAGG